CTATGTGACACAGTAGACATTGAATACTAAAGTCAATTGGAGATGTGTGTCTTGCTGTGTGAGGTACAGCAATAAACAAGTCACATGTGAGTTGCTCACAGTGTTGTCTTCAGCAGCTTCTGTGTCTTCACATCTTTTCCCTCTTTTTCTGCCTTTCCTGTGTTCTTTCTCTTCCTGGTCATTTGTCAGACCTGAGGAAATGCTGTTCTTGAGCATGAGCCTTGTTAGTATTTCTAGAGTCTCACATTTAAATCTGGAGTATTACCAAGTTTTTGAATCGCTGTAGAAAGGTGTTACACATACACAGAGAGTGCTCAGGGTAACTGTCACTGCCATCAGCTCTCAGTTCAGTCCCTGCTGGTTCGTTCTTCTTCCTGTCTCCCCTCTGCTTCCCCCTTGCCCCCTCCCCATACTTCTTGCTCCACCAGCAAACTGGCTGTCTTTGGTGGTTTGTTACACCTTAAGTCATCTTGCAGAACGGGAATTTTAAAACGGGTAAAATGCCTCAACAGGAGTGAATCAAATATTTCTACTGTTAAATGTACTGTTAATGAAAATGTTTGGTATAGCAGTTCTAGCAGGAAGTTCTTGAAAGCTTTGTGTCATCTCACTGAGACTACCTGAAAAATTTCTATTAAAGCACCACTTAGACTTCTTGTTTAGTTACCTGTCTGTTCCATAATTTAAATGGCACAGTGTTTTGTAGTTATTTTGTTACAATGGCATTTATGAAAGTTGTTTTCCTGAGTGGTTCATGGTTTAAAAATGTTTTATAGCTGTTTAATATATGATATGCGGGGGTTTTTTTCTTGAGATAATAGATGAGGAGCAATTTTTGTCTAGTTTTGTTCTATTAGTTTCCATTAGAGTGCAGTAGAGGCAGCATGTATTTGTTCTTCTGGTAGCTGTAGTGTCAGAGAAAATCTGGTGAAATGCTTCTCTTTAGAGAGGAGATGTATATGGTTTTCTTAGTATTCAGAACATGGCTGTTAAAACTTTGAGCCCCTTTTACACAACCATTCAGACCACTGCTGCTATGTTAAGCTGATCTGCTGCTGACAGTTACTGGAATGCTAATCTTTATGAGCTGAGAAAATATGGGAAATGCCAGGGCTGGATTCCTGAGCTGCTGAAACATGTGGAATGGGGACAGGAAAACTATTAACGCTTAGTGAGGACTATGTTTTGGCTTATTCTTTTGGAATATTCTTGTGGAAATCTTTCAGAATATACTTGTGGAGGTGGAGAAATACTGTGTTAGGAAGACAGTCTGTAGTGTGCCACTGGAGTGACACTGGACTTGGAGTGCTTAGCAGGCTGCCAAAATCTGTTGTTTGAATACAGCTCTGTATGTGTGTTAATATTGAGTGCCTGTGTGTCACAGATGAATTTATTTCAAAATGAGAATGTAAAGCAATACATCTGGTTTTTTTGTTTGGTTGGTTTTTTTTTCTTTGCCAATAGATAGCTTGTGGTAGTCATGGATAGGAAGCTTTAGGACAAGTGAAATAAACAGACTATTTGGTTGAAAGTCCTTTTAAGAATCGACACTTTTGGTTAAATTGCATTTTTCAAAATTAGCAGAGGTTTGGGTTTTTTTGGTGTAAGCTGTAAAACAGGAGCCTTGTGTAACAACTGAGGTCTGAAGGGAACATAGTCTAATCAATTTAACCTGTAAAGGTCATTGCACGGGAGGAGATTGCTGCCTGGATGTTCTTGATGCTATCTCTTTGGAAATGGGTCAGCGTATATTCCAACACCAAGCTTTGGGGTTTGCATTGCAGTCTTCTATGGTTGAGGCATGCATGTTGTCTTCTAATCTTCACTGCCTGATGAGGCTTATACTCATGCACCAAGTGTGATCTAACATAGTCTCTGCTGTGTATTCCTGATTAATATAGAAAAAAAGTATTGGGAAGACGCTTCCCAGCTGCAGGGGCAGCAAGATGGAATTCTGCATGGAGCACAGCGTGTTAGCATCCCATCAGCGTTGACAGTAGTTCTGGGGCAGGAAGGCAGCTCCATCTTCTTGCTCTGCCATGTATTATTTCTCCTTGCTGTACAAGTTGAGAACCACATTTTTATCCAAGCACAGTCTTACTGCATTTTTGATGTCAGATAACTGTAGATTATTTTAGGAGATTTGTGAAAGTTTTTACTGTAGTTGCTGTCACTCAGATTTCTCTTTCTGCGTCTCTTTTCTTGGACTCTTTTTTTATTTCACACACCGCAAAAAAGAAGGGGATTCCTCAATTTTTATAGTAGCCAAAGCATTTGGGGGAAAGAATTCTAATTCCCATCCCTGAAAGCATTTATTCTAAAAAATAAATGATTTCGTTATATTCTGACAAATTTATGCTTATGATGGTAGTTTACAGCATCTGCTGTCTGGAAGATAAGCTGGTCACCATCAGCAGTCAGAATGATGATTTATATACAATTCAGTGAGTCCATGTAGTAGTTTACAGGCTTGGAAATTGTCAGTATCTTTCCTGATCCTGTGTCTTTGGTCTTGTTTTTACAAACTGTAAACTCTGGGGCCTACTGACAATAGGGCAGAGTTGCGATACAGCAATTCTTCCACTTTCAGATGGGTGAACAATGTAATCTTGCAGAAGATAATCTGTTAACTCCGAGATGACTGTGACTGAAGGTCTGTATTCTGCAGGTGAAGCTCCACTTGACAGGTCTGCTTGCCACCAATAATACCAACACTCTCGAGATTCTTGAGTTAGGAGGGTAGAAAACCACGAAGTTTCAGGTTGGTTTATTAGGAAATTAAGCTGGTCAGGTTATATCTTTGTGTCATTTATAGATGGATATGTTGAGCTTTCTCTTCAGTCTTTAGTTGTATGGTTTCTACTTGCTTTGAGAACTAATCACTTGGGGTTAGAGAGATTCAAGTAGTGCCAGAGATTCTCATGGCATAACTAGACATCAGTAGTACACAAGCTTCACGATTGCTGCAGCTCTTACGAAGTGCACTACAGTAATAGGTAGGGGAAACGGCTAAAAAAACCTCTTGTGATGGCCTCCTGCTTACCTGTTTCAAATGGTTTCTTTTCCTTCGTTATGAAAAAACCTTAGGTTTTAAAAAGCTGTTAAGAGACTTGTTTCCAGTTTACAGAATTTGGGTAGTGGGTGGGGAAGCTGATGCAAGAGGAACTGTTAAACTTTGTTTTCAGGCTTTACTACCTTTTAGTTCGGTTTTTTTTTTTTAATACTATTTTAAAATCCTGTATTAGTTGCCAGTATATGTTGGCAGTAACCCCTGCCCTTCTGAAGCTTGCTAGAAATAGGATGTGTAACGCTTGCTTTCTTCACCCTGTCATAAACAGGATTGATTTATCTCAATACCAAATTTCTAACTCTCAAGGGAGCAAGATGAACAAGGTGTTTGACATTTCATTTTTGGTCTTGTTGCTTGAAGGACAAATGGCTGCAGTTTCATGTTCTAAGGGAAAGTAATTTTTCATTAGTGGAATTGAAGGAGAGCAGGTACATAACAAATATGTTTAAGAAATGAATCTTTTTAATCCTCTGCTGTCACTCCAGGATCCTTATGTGTCTGGTGTTTGGACCTCAGCTCGAGCTTCTGGATCTGAAACAGCCCTGTTGTGTACCCATGCTTAACATATTGCTCTCTGACTTAGGACAAGATCTGGGTAATTTTTGTTCTGTTTACCATCCTCTTTCACAGTAAGCTGAATGGTTAATCACCATTGGGAACTTAGTATTGCTTCACTTTGTTCATAGAACAGCCAGAGTCATTTTGACAGGCGTTTAAAGAGAAATTTAGTTCTGCTGACACATCACTGTTGAATAGCACTTACATAATGATCTGACTAATAAGCAACCAAAAGCGTTCAATCAAATGAACTTCTAAACAAGTAACTGCTTATTAATTTTCTGAGTAGCAATAATGTATTATAATTAAAGGTATAAAGCCATGCACAACTTACAGCAAGAGCAGTTACTTAGTTAAAGCAACAGAAGACTGAGCTCTGAGTCTCTGTTCCTGTATACAGGTTACTTGGTTAAATGACTGGTTGAAAGGGTACAATATGTTTCGCTGGTACAGTAGTGCTTAGAAGTACTTTTGACAGAATGCGGTGCCAGCGCACCTCTCTGTAAATACTGGGTTTTCAGTGTGAAAATAAAGCAATGCTTTGGTGGAAATAAATGAGCAAACACTAAGCTGGCACATACATTCTGCTTTCACACTGCGGATTCACTCGGGTTTTGAAAGAATAGGTTTCTATATACGAATAGTCCTAATGGAGGCTTTATAGTTTTCATTAGCATTTGTGTCTGCTTACTATTGCCATTTGATCAGAAACTTCTGGGGAAGAAATAGCTGATGACAGAGATGATGAGCTGAATATCACATACAGAAGGGTTTTGTTGGGCTTTGTAGAAAAGATACACTCTGCACTTTCACTTTACTCTTTTAAGTTAGGGAGAAAATGCATTTGACAGATTTCACTTTCATGAGCTATATTGTATATTTCTAAAAACTCTGCATCAGTAGTTTTAAAAATATTTTGAAATTATTCCCCCTGCTCTAAGCATACATGTAAAAGTGCAGACTGAGCGTAATATGCATGGTTTTGTTTCTGATGCTTTGCTCAGAGGTACGTAAATGTGCACTTTCTAAATGAGAAGGGTTTAATTTTTATGTGCCTTTACCAAGTGTGGTTTTTCTTTTTTTTAATATTTGTCTTAGGTTAAAAAGTTCTATCGTCTCAGGGAGGCAGTAGCCTGTTGTTGGTTTCTTGGAGCAGCAAGTCGAACCAATAATGAGCAGATGCTTACAGTTACGCTGTGTGTGAGAGACAACGTCATCACAGTGGCGAAGCTGCACAAGCAACATCAAAGAGCAGGGGACTTTTGTGTTCCCGAGTCAGCAG